CATTCTACCAATTTATGCATACCCCCTATTATTATATACAATCGGGTATCCTTGTCACGAGTCCTTCTCGGGTATCAACATTCATGGGATAAATGAGAAAGTAGGCATTCCAAATCATAGAAAACCAAATATCAGTCCTTGAAAACTTGGGTCCCAGTTCATGAGCAAAATTTAGATATAATTTTTATGCTTAATCGCTATTTTAATCAATTTATTCATGTTAACCTTTCAGGATTTTCTCTTAACAAGTTCTGATGATCTTGGTGGAGTTTTCAACGGTCTGAATAATGTAATCCAGTGCCGATTTCGACGTCGCCTTACTCCTCTTAGCCAAGCCGCTCAGATGAAAGACTTGGCAGCTCCGAATCAATACTACCTCATTCTTAGCCTTGGACAAAATATCGGAACAGCCGGCTTTGCCTCACCCTTTCCAGGCGGGCAATCTGTTTCAAGACGGCCAGTTGTAATAACCTCGTAAGCTTAATTACAGACACACTTATCATTATCATGAGTAATTGGAATGTCTTCTTAGTCCTCCTTATATTTCATATCTCAAACAGGTTAAAATCTCACTTTTTCTCGAAGGTATGAAGACCAAGATGGTGTGGCCTTTTGTATGGTCTCAGTCTCCTTTCGTTGTTTAGAAGTTGTTTCACCTTGTTTTCGCAACATGGTCATATTGGTAGGAGGACTTAGAGGAATACACCTAGTCCGGAGTCCATTGTATGCATGATCATTTCCAAAGTCGGACTATGGACGTGGTACATTCCCATACGTTTCACTGGCATCGTCAGTGAGTCTCGCCATTCGTAGCACCACACTACAACTCGTCAAAGAGACAAGTGAAGCCGATCCTTTGACCAAACGTGTGCTAAACCTTTTTGGTATTATCGCTAGGCCTGGGCTATTCACATTTCCTATATCCTCCTATCACGCTTTCACTGCTACAATTTTTACCGTGCTCATCGAGATGTAGTGTGGTGTGTTCCTTTGAGCGGCATTCATGAAAACCCTTTACACTTCACGCTATCGTTCTCACCCTCTTCATCCTTGTGCTAGGAATGTTGATTAGAATCTGCCGTATTGTTACGCAGTCCTCCTTCCCTAGGTCTTATCAGGGTCTCTCTTGGCGTCTGCTATATCCCTGGTTCACGTATTTCACTCGACCCCTGCCACCCCATTTGTGCTAGTCCAAGCGTTATTCGTCCTCCCCTGTGTATAGGTGACTAATTCGAGGCTCAAGCCTCTGAGTAAGTTTCGTCGTCAAGTCTTTGCTACATGGACCACGTCTATCATAAAAACAAACCTATTGTGAGCCAACTAGATCTAGTCTCCGCCCTGTCTATCCTGTTTCTATCCCTAATACCAAGTCTATGACTTTGTTCAACATTGAACCTAATTTAAGCAAGAAGTACCACAACATTTGTGGGTTAGCACACAAGAGACTAAGGCATAGGAAGTCATAGACTTGGTATTAGAGATAGAGACAGGATAGATGCGGCGGAGACTGGATCTAGTTGGCTGACAATCCGTTCGTTTTTACCATAGACGTGATCCATGTAGCAAAAGCTTGACGATGAAAATTACTCAGAGGCTTGGGCTTCGAATTAGTCACCCTGACACAGGGGAGGACGAATACCGCTTCGAATAGCATAAATGGAGTGGCATAGGTCAAGTGAAATACATGAACCAGGGATATAGCAGACGGGTCTTACGAGGCAAGAGAGAGACAGTAATAAGACCAATGGAAGGAGGACTTCGTAACAATATGGCAAACTCTGATCTACATTCCCAGCACAAAAGTGAAGGGAGTGAGAATGATGGCGTGAAGTGTGAAGGGTTCTCATGAATGCCGCTTAAATAAACACACACTACATCTCAATAAGTACGGTAAAATTGTAACAGTGAAAGCGTATAGGAGGATATAGGAAATATGAATAGCCCAGGGCAGAAGGGGAGATACCAAAAATGTTTAGCACATGCTTGATCAAAGGATCGGCTTCACTTGTCTCTTCGACGAGTTGTGTGTTGCTACGATGCCGGCGAAACGTCTGGGATTGTACCACGTTCACTGTCCGACTTTAAAAATTATTATGCATACAATGGACTTCGGACTAGGTGTGTTCCTCTAAGGTCAAACAACCTCTATAGATTTGTTTATTTGTCTTAATTGAATGTAATAATTATCTGTATTGAAACTGATCGCAAAAAGTGAAATATTTTTATTATAGACTAAGAAGACTACATAGTACTTTGCTTACTGTTAAAGTCAGATCTATAGTTTGCAATAGTTAATATCAATTCTGAGTTTCCAACAGACACTTTTAGCATATTATTAATTACAATATGATTAGGTTAAAAAATGAAAATAGGATGATCAAGACGGTGTGTTCTTAGGCATGGTTTCAATCTCCTTTGGTCGTAGTGTTGGTTTGGCCTCGTCTTCCCAACTTGGTCGGAGCGACAGGAATACCTTGTAAAATGTATCTAGTTCGCTGTCATCTGCCATAATATCCATGATGATTTCCAGCATCTGATCGTTGACTTGTTGCATCCCCAGGCGTAATCATTTATTCAAAGTAAAGACTTATTAAGGTGACAAGTTAAAACAATTTCGTTGTTCAATGTTCTGTTCAACCGTTTTGTCCAAGCTTTTAGCACTGCATAGGACGAAAGGGGTAATCTGCACAAGGGCTAAAGAACACCAGATACTGAATAATAATATAAACGAAAAAACTGGAAGTCGCTTAA